AAATTCGATTTGTACGATAGCGCACTAAACAGAGACGTTCTAATTTGATTCAGAAGCTTTTTCTTGGATCAGGATCTGCTTTCGTGGACAATAGCAGATGAGAGCATCCACACGACGATTAATAGAGAATAATTTAAAACTAAGTGTCTGGGGTCTGTTTCTTAAAAAGACTTAAGTAGAAAATCTTACTTAAGTCAAAAAAGACAAAGACTTTTTTGGACTTAAGTTAGATTTTCTACTTAAGTTTTTTTAAGAAACAGACCCCTGTTAAAGAAGAAATATGAATTTATTCAGAAAAGTGACGGATACTCAACTTTTAAGAGGAACCTGACGGAAAAAATAATTTAGATAAAACAAGGTATGAACGAAATAAAAAGATAAAGAAAGAAACTAATATTTAGAAAAGAGAAATTTAGAAAAAAATTTGAATAGACAATCAAGGCGAACAGCAAATGGGTCGATTCTTGAAGATTATTCCATTCAGTAACTATGTAGATTAAAGAAACAAAAGCTTATCAGCGCAGACCTTGTGTCTAAAATGTAACTACTCCATTCAAACGTGAAGGACTAAGATGGGGCTGTATGAAAGAACGTCTCGAATGTGTACGTTTAAACTGATTTGTTTTAATTAGATAAAGATGTGTGCTTGGGAGTGCGCTGATGTATACTTAGTCATCATTCCACTTGCAGCATGAAAACTCGCTTGTCCACGTATACAATGTATATTCAGTATTGTTCGTGGGTCACGTACGTCCACAAGCGTTAGGGAGGGGGGAGGGGGTGAATAAAACTTTCAGATTTCCCTGTAAAAACTCACTCCTTGTTCTTTCTCTTTCAGAGGAATTCAGGGGAAGAGTTACACAAAAGAATGAGAAAACATCATCAAAAACTCAAGATCTAAGGGACAACAAAAAAAAAAATGCTTCCTTTCGTGATTTTTCGTCGAATTTTTGGGGCAGTTTTATTTTGCCTTAAATATATTTCAAAAGAATTCTAATCAATAATTATCCGTTCAAAATAAAATTGAGCTTGTAATCGTCTAAATGCACTTTTTTAATGTAGTCTAAGTGTAGTTCAAGTGCATTTAGACGTTTACAAGCTCAATTTTATTTCGAATGGATAATTATTGATTAGAATTCTTTTGAAATATATTTAAGGCAAAATAAAACTGCCCGAAAGATTCGACGGGATCCGTAGCAACGGCATTCCATGGCCGTTAGATCAATAAAAGAAATTTTAACAACAAGATTACATACACCAATTTTTCAGTGGATACTTAAACAAAAAGTTGTCCTTCTGTCTGGAGAAAAACGGTAGTTCACAGAAACAGACTGCCATATTTCTAAAGAATTTGGATAGTAATGATTGTTGTCGCCTAAAAGTTGATTGTACTTTAAACTCATTGAACTGATTTTTATAAAAAAGTTATGCTAGCTTATTAGTCTATACTTTATAATTGAACTTTATCAAAATGTCTGTTTGTAGACAGTCTATCTCTGTATAAGAAAGTATAAAATCAATGTTAAAGAGCATAACTTGACGATAATTTTTGCTTTTTGTTTTGAATAGTAACAATAGAATCGTGTTAACCGAGTCAATAGTAGTTCAATAGGGGCTATTCTATCAAATAGGTATCTCTCTTCAGAGGAACACTATTGAAAAAGTGTACTGTTCAGTTTTCTGCTATTATCAGAGCTAATTTAGATTTAGAACCGTAGAAAACAATAATATCAAGAGTTAAATGACTATTTTCGAAGAATTTCTTATTATTTTTCGAAAAGCACGACTGTATACACCAAGTCAAAAACATCGTATTGTGATACAATGTTTCGATGCAGCCAGAGGTGCAGAATCTACCTGTGAGTTTAAAAGTTTTCTACAACCTGAAATTTAGAAAAAACTGTTATTAGTTCATTTTTTATCTTTTTTTCCCGATAATCATACTAGAACCTTTGCTGCTATAAACGCAATTCTTTCCTTATTTATTACTTGTTCTTTGAGCACATAGGCTTGAAAAAAAACGCTTAAGACTATGAATGCACTGTTCATTATTCATCCGACTCATGCTTGATTCTGTTCAGTAATTTCTCTTGTCGTAAACGCTTTACATCGGTTATTATTGTCAATGAGAAAGGCGTTGAATCCGTTTAAAACAATGTTTGTATGTTGATGTCTGACGATTTCAATTTAAACGGATTAGAGGGACGATGATTTTCCTGCATGTTTCTTGGCTGTGTCTTTACGCCCAGACCATGAACAGTACACAGTTTGTTTACTGGCATATTTTGAGATCATTTTTCGTCAATATCTAAACTATATGTGAGAAAATATCGGACAGAGAGTAGCCGCATTGTGCACATTGCATATTATAAGAAATAAAAACAAATAACAAGAATATCAAAAAGACATAAGCAATGACTGTATAATAAAAATGTGGAGGGAAGAGTGGCAAAACAGAAGGAGAAATGCTAAAAATAATAAACCAACAAAATATCTGTATGCATGCGTTATTTTACAATGGAAGTTTATATTGAAAAGAAAATTATAATTTGAAGATGTGGATAAAATGACAGTGTACAGCGAGCCCTATATTAAGGAACATATTTTTCTCTAAATTAGTTCAAAAGAATTTCTAAGGCGGAAATTTCTTAAATCTTTTAATGCAGAAAAAATTCACATTTTTTTCTGTTGAAAAATTTTCCACATACGACCGTACACACACATGGGGAAATTCTGAGATTTATTTAGTATACTCCAGTTGAGAATCTTATTTTTTTAACAAAAAATTTTCGTTCATGTCTTAACTAAGAGACAATTCATGATGCTTTTTAGTTCATCAATTCAAATTTACAACTATTTATGCATCTAGGATCTTTCCTCCTTAGTACTTTTGGATTCTTCAGATTAATTATTCATAATAAAGAAATTCTCATGTGATAGTGATCCAGAAAGAGGATCTTGTAGGGCAAAACAAGTGTAGAATGTACAGTGAAGGACAAGATCAGTTTAATAACCATTTGGGCGTATTAATGTGTGAGGGTGTGAAAAACCTGATTAAAATATTTTTCATCCCATTGATCTGCACTAATCGAGATGAATGTTAAAAAGAATACTTAATCCCGTGATTATAGGAAATATTCGATTAACTGATATTAACAGTCACAAGCATTTAGGCCTATTCCTAACTTCGATGCTTGACTGAAATAAGCATATTATTTATGTTCACACTAGATGTAGCAAAATTCTATTCTTAATGTACCAATATAAAAATATTTTCTGCACAACAGTTTTGAACCAAATGTATAAAGCCTCTTCAACACATAAAACCGATCTCAGTCCTATTGTTTCTCTTCAGTATAAATTTGTGTGCCTAGTTTTCGGGTGTAAACATCTAACGGATAAGCTTAAGATATTACACTGTTTGGGACGGTTAGACATCGAACGAACTTTTTTGAACAATGTTTTGTTACTAGGGTTTAAAATATTAATAGGATTAACACCTGAACACTTACAGGATAAACTAATAAGAAACACAAATTTCCATCACGCTTTACGTTCCCGAACATTCAACAAACTAAATACACTCACAGGTTTAAAGAGATTTGAAATGACTTTCTTTCCTCGTTTTATACTTGAGTGGAATAAGTTAGATAATAATTTGAGATCATGTACGAAAATAAAAAAGTTTAAAAATATATTAGTCTCGACGGAAAATAATATAAAAGTTTTTAGAATCTATGGTGTGAACAGAGAGTATGATCAGATCTATTACCAGTTACGATGTGGTTTTTCTGATCCGAACTCTCACCTTTTTCCAAAACGTCTAGTTAGAAGTAATCTCTGTCAATGTGGTATACCTGAAACAGTGGAACATTTTCTTCTTCATTATCATTTATTTGCTCCTTATCGTACTGTAATGACGAATACTATCACCGACTCCATACCATGAAAAATTAGGATTGTTGTTATGATCTAACGGCCAAGGAAAAAAAGTGCTTCCTTTTGTGATTTTTAGACGTTTTTTTTCGGCAGTTTTTCTTTGCCTTACATACATTGCAAAAGACTTGTAATCAATAATTATCCATTCAAAATAAAATTTGAGCTTGGTTTCGTCTAAATGCACTTGGACTGTATTAGGGACTTGAATGAATGCAGTATGTGTGCACTTATTCAAATCACTAATACAGTCTAAGTGCATTTAGACGAAACCAAGCTCAAATTTTATTTTGAATGGATAATTATTGATTACAAGTCTTTTGCAATGTATGTAAGGCAAAGAAAAACTGCCGAAAAAAAACGTCTAAGGCCGTAGCAACCGCATCCTTTGGCCGTTAGATCATTAGAAATCTGCTATTAAAAAATACATTTGAATATGATGAATACTCTGCAATCTATTCTGCTGTTATAAAATTTATTGAATATTCTAAACGATTTAACAGCTAACTTACTGTACATATTCTCTACTTCTTCCACTCTTTTTTCCTATTTTCTCTCCTTTCTTTTTAACTTTCTTTTTGTTTTTTTTTAAATGATAGTTTTTATTTTTTGTTGTTATTCCATTTATCTATGTTACGTTTCTTCAAATAGCCAGGTACAATGCTTTGCGATTCCCGACTATTTGTGATGCTTATTTCAGCTGACTAATAAAATATAGATTAAACTAATAATATCTAAGATGGTTGACATTAACTATACAAAACTTTTGGGGATATGGAATCATTCATGAGCACATTTTAATCTGAGATTTTCCAAAATAGAGCGCGGCTAGTTATTTACATTTAAAGAAATATAAGTATAAATAGAAAAAAGCATAACACAATTTCGGTTGTTGTTTTTTTAGTCCAACAAGCATTAAAAAACTCAAAAGTAAAAAGAAATAGAGAACTAAAAACAGAAAAGGTTCAATGAATTGTGTTATCATTTATTTGAAGAAGAAAAAAAAAATGCTGAGTTAGTAGCTTTTTTGGAAAAATTTGAGTATTTTTTTTGATTTTTCAAATTCACGTTGATATAATATTTTTTTGTTGCTGCTGTTGTGGTCGCATTTTTTTTATCATTGTTGACATAAACAATAATATAACCACATAAACTATATATAGAATAAATAAATAGGCGAGATGATTCATTTTTTTCTGATTTTCGTGATATAAACGAACACCAACGAGAGACGCATGACTAACATAGAGAATAATTACATGTATCAACATCATAAAACGTGTCATTTTACGTACAGTGGTTACTTTATATTGTGTTGAGAAATTTCTACGAGTTTTAGATAATAATTGATAAGGACGTGCTTCTGGATTTGTTATCAAATCTCTACCATCATTATCATAGATGACCGTCACTGTATCATCCTCTTGTTCACTTTCACTTTCAACAATAGATGCATCTATTGGACGATTTAATTTATTTTCATATTTAGTAACATAGTAGAGTAGTTGACAGGAAATAACGACAAAGCCGGTATGTTGTACAAGATAATAGATAATTAATAAACTATGAGACTTTGTAAAAAAGTGTAATGAGAATATACGAAAAAATATGAACACATGATAAAATACAAATGTGTATGGTGATAATGATGTGATGGCTTGTTCTGGTTGTTGACAATTTTTAATTATCTAAAATAAAAATAAAAGAGATGAGATAATTTCTTTTTTATTATACATTATCTATTAGTCACTTACCTGTGGCAATGGTGTTAGTAAATATGAATAGAGACTAACTGCGACAAAATAATATCGATATTTTGTTTTATGTACTTCAAGTATAATGTATATAATTGAACCTACTAAACAAAATAGATGATTCCAACATCTTGATCTAATACTTTTTGTTACACTTATCCAAGATTCACCAACGTATAAAGCACAAAATTCCACGGCTAGGATTATTTGAATCAAATGTATTACTGATACATCGCCAACTTCGGTAATAATACCCATAATATATAGCACGGAAATGTATTGAAAAAGACACCATAATGAACTTAAACCTTTATACCTTTTGAATTTGAATAGAGAATATAATTGTGGTATCCAAACTAATATGGCTCCGAACGTTGCTATTGCTTCAAATAGATAACCAACTGAACAAGAATATTTATTATCCAATGCACATTTAGA